ACTAACGTTAAAAATATAACTGACCGAGAGGCCAAAGTGGTGACCCCGAACGTTATATAGAACATTACATGCAAAACGGGCACCATTTTTTTGAGATGCACGTCCATAAATCGCACAATTCGCGACACTGTCGAATTTTTCGTCGCAACAAACATGGCGACCCAAGTTAGCGGGCTTAATGAAGAACTTCAAGAATTGAAGGTGCAAGTGCAGCAACTTCAATCGTCAGTTGCACGGCCACTAGCAGAAAAGGATCCCTGACCGCAGATTTGACCATATACATATCGACATTGTCGTGATTCCCTTGGTAGGTGGATACAGGTATTGCCTGACGATGATCGATGGCCGAAGGCAGTACCTCTACAGGATATGACAGCACAGACGGTCTGCGATGCAATTTTGTCCTAGTGGATATCACAGTTTGGGTGTTCCTTGATAACCACCAGTGATCAAGGGGCCCAATTCGAGTCGGCACTTTTTAAATCACTAGCCAATTTATTGGGAAGTGAACACATCCACACGACACCATATCACCCAAAGTCAAACGGCATGGTCGAGCGTTGGCATAGGTCTATGAAAGAAGCTTTAATGTGCAACCCGCGGCCCCATGGACCAAACTACTTCCAACTGTAATGCTTGGCCTCCGAACGTGTTTCAAGGAAGATCTCCAAGCATCAACTTCCGAAATGTTGTACGGGTGCACACTTCGCCTCCCCAACGAATAATTCTATGTCCTGAACGCACCCTCTAATCCATGTTAGTTCGTCAGTCAGTTTCGTACCAACGTGCAGGCGGTAAGGCCGACGCCAGCTTCGCACCATAGCAAGTCGAAACTTTTTCTGCACAAAGCTCTCATGTATTCATCATGACTGACGCGGTAAAGCAGCCGTTGGAGCCTCCATACTCAGGACCGCATGAGGTGATATCCAAGCCATCAGATCGGGTCTTCATCATGCGGATCAATGACAAAGAAACACCATTGTCGATCGTTGGCAATTGAAGAGGCTGACGAAGCCGTCCCCACGAATGATGCTGCTGGTCCCAAGGGTGATTTAATGTGCCATTACTTCGCACGACTGACAAGCAGCACAGGACTAGCCACGATCTATCGGCCAATACATATCGGGCCTACCTCTAAGCTGCCATTCACTGGAAGAAGGAAAAAGGATGCCAATCAGAGCGAACAGCGACAAGAGAACAGAAGACGAATTATTTCACAATTATAATTGATTTCACGAATAAAACTAACGTTAAGAATATAACTGGCCGAGAGGCCAAAATTACTCAAGCAGTAAGAAGTGCAAGCATAAGTGCCATGCACCTTCGTTTTAATAGACTCAATAACTAACCACTTTCTTTTTCAAGTACCCTTTGAGTCGAACAGACGTACCAGCTAAGGAGGATAAAAACTATTTCGTCGCTAGAAGTGTTTCTAGTCAGTGCTAGAAAAATTATTATATTTCTATCAACAACGTTACACCTGCACACCCACATTAACGCGACCACCGCGTGCACCCAGGAGTGATGGGCTAGCAACTACTAGGTGTCAACTAAAATTACTATGTGCCAATAAGTTTACGTGTCCAGCAAGTCAACTACATTAGTAGTACCGTACCCATGAATTCAACCGCCCACCAAATAAACGCACGCTAACCGAAAATGGTCTCATAACCCGGAAACGAAAAATAATTAACCTTACTAAATAAATTAAATTGTCTACACATGCAATAAATGCTTAAAATTTTATAATAGCAAAACTAATTATGCTCCAACGTAAAAAACAAATAATGTTATATATTCTTTTTTGGTAAACAATGGTCCAACAATACCTGTTACGACCTACGCGATCTAATCGCGCGTGTTCTTAAGTTACTCTTTTTTATACCCTGAACCCATTAAAAATTTGTGCAAAATCCAAATGTATGTAACAGGCAGAAGGAAGCATCTCCGACCCCATAAGGTATATATATTCTTGATCAGCACCAATAGCCGAGTCGATCTAGCCATGTCCGTCTGTCTGTCCGTCCGTCCGTATGTATAAACGCAAGGATCTCAGAACCTATAAGAGCTAGAGACTATCGATATCCTGTTTTTTGGGAAATTTGGGAAATAATAAGAGCTAGAGTTACCAAACTTGACATATAGCTTCTTAAATAGAATATATATATACATTTGATGTTGGAAGAAGAGGGTTCAGGGTATCCCCTAGTCGGGAGCTCACGACTAGAAACTCTTACTTGTTTTTTTTTTAATATTGCTTAGTCTTAGTTTTCTCGTTGAATAACCAGCCAAGTGAAAAGGAAACAAGATTAAATGCTAGTTCAATTGAATAAGCCCATAAAATTGAATTAAACCCATAAAATAAAATAATAACAAGTAAGAGGTTCTAGTCGGGAGCTCTCGACTAGGGGATACCCTGAACCCTCTTATTCCAACACCAAATAAATTAATAAAAATAAAGTTCCCTTGGCAGGGCTCGAACTCGCGACATACCGCACCACTTGCTATGCCTCTACTCAACAGCCACACCAACAATTAAGTACTTATGATAAAAAAAGGAACTAAAATAATATTCCAAAAAAAAATGCAATTACCATGCTATTAGAATGCGAAGCAGACGCGCATGAATGTGTGTGTGTACATGTATACAGAAATTCTTAAAGCTGCTGCCCCATTCAATTGCGCAGTTGCATATAACTTTGGGTTTTCTTAACCGATCTTTATGAAATTTTCTACAGTATATCTTATTTTACCATAGAATATTTATGTATTGTGAAAAGTCAATTGCATTTAAATTGTGGTTTAAATTGGTGGGCAATAAAAGTTGGATTATTAACTTGATTTATAGCTCTGGGGTGGTAGCGGGGAGGTGGCGATAAGTATGAAATGAAAGAAACTTGAAATATCTATCATATTCTAGAAGCAACGTATCATGTTTGTTGGCTCTAGCACTTATTATTTACCCAATTTGCTAAAAGAAACAGGATGTCGATATCGATTTTTATCGATTGCTTGGAAACGGAGTAAGTTATCGATTATCGGAAACAAACTCGATCTGCGCGGGAACTAGGAGCATCTCCATCTAAAATTTCATCTCTAGCTCTTATAGATTCTGAGATCCTTGCGTTTATACATAAGGACGGACGGACAGACAGACGGACATGGCTAGATAGACTCGGCTATTGGTGCTGATCAAGAATATATATACTCTATGGGGTCGGAGATGCTTCCTTCTGCCTGTCACATACATTTGGATTTTGCACAAATACAATATACCCTTATACCCATTTTTAATGGGTTCAGGGTATAAAAAAGTCCAAGAGTTGCTGTTTAGATGTAGGTGCTCCTAGTGCCTGCGCAGATCGAGTTTGTTTCCGATAATCGATAACTTACTCCGTTTCCAAGCAATCGATAAATATCGATATCGGTATCCTGTTTTTTTCGGCAATTTTGGTAAATAATAAGAGCTAGAGTCACCAAACTTGACATATAGCTTTTAAAATAGAATATATATAATCATTTGATGGAAAAAGAGGGTTCAGGATATCCCCTAGCCGGGAGCTCCCGACTAGACCCTCTTACTTGTTGTATATGAATCATACATAAGCCCAATAAGTTAAACAGCCACATTGTTTTCCTTTAATTCTCAAAATATCTATTAAATGCACTTAACATGAACATTTTATGAAGATTTGAAAGAAGTTCATTTTGGTAAACCGAAGATTAAATACTTTGCGAAAAGCAGGCTTCTTACCTGTGGCAGTTATGTTATATTCTGTGTACTCTTGTAAAAGGTATAACAAATTTGTCACGATTTACTAAAAATATAAAATACAGCAGCTGAGTCGATAAAGCTACGTATTTCCGTTTGTCTATCTGTTAGTAGTGTGTATTTGCTTCGAAATTATCTTGATTTAATAAATTAATGTACTATATAGTACATTTTCGCAGGATCAAAAAGTAAGAGGTTCTAGTCGGGAGATCCCGACTAGGGGATACCCTGAACCCTCTTTATCCAACATCAAATGCATATATATATTCTATTTTAGAAGCTATATGTCATGTTTGGTGACTCTATTAGCTATTAGCTCTTATTATTTACCAAAATTGCCCAAAAAACAGGATATCGATATCAATTGCTTGAAAACGGAGTAAGTTATCGATTATCGGAAATAAACTTGATTTGCGTAGGCACTAGGAGCACCTACATCTAACATTTCAAGTCTCTAGCTTTTATAGGTTCTGAGATCCTTGCGTTCATATATACGGACAGACGGCCAGACAGACGGACATAGCTAGATCGACTCGGCTATTGGTGCTGATCAAGAATATATATATACTTTATGGGGTCGGAGATGTTTCCTTCCGCCTGTTATATACATTTGGATTTTGCACGAATACAATATACCCTTATACCCATTTTTAATGGGTTCAGGGTATAATTACATAGATGAATCTGAAAAATTACTTAAGTCTTAGCGTCTGAAAGATCCCACAAAAAAAAAATAATTAATTGATCTAGTAGAAATTGACTACTTCAAAAATGCATTGTTATACCATTTACACATTTTAAATCGATAAAGTGTATTATGGTTTTCAACTAATGTATGTAACCGACAGAAGGAACCATACCCGACCCCATAAAGTATATATTCTTGGTTAGACGCGTCGTCATAGGGGTCGATCTCAGAACCTATTTGTGAAAGACTTGCAATTATAAACGTAGGCAGTCTTAGTGCCCATGTAGTTCGAGTTTGTTGTGAATTATCCAAAAAATTTCCCCGTTTCCAAGCATTCGACAAATCTTTTTGACAAATCTCTTACGTTTTAAGAGCTAGATTCACCAAATTTGTAATATAGCTGCTCTTATTGTATATAAAGTAAAGTATATATATATATATATACATTTTTAAGATTAAGCAAGAGAGCGCGTAGCGCGAGCTGCTTCTGTTATTTTATGAAAAGTATCGTTTAGTCGGGCATTGACATTGTTATTACGTCATTAAAATAAAACCTACATTTTACATATACAATAATATTAAAAAAAAAAAAAGTCAAACTAATAATAGGGCAAGTACAATGGTATTACATAATGAAATAATAGTTTATCAACCTTTCATCTTACGAGTGTGCCGTAATTTTCCATAAATTAATAAATTAGTTGGGACCATACATAAAATGTTCCATGTGATTAACAAACCTTTCCATAGCTTATTATTTTGAATGACTGTTCGAGCTTAAATCATTGTCTAGGCTAATCTAGTGTCTAGTATTAGTTATTTTCCTGTCCCAATTGTTCTTCGCGTAAAGCTTTTCCGAAAATTTACCTGTTTGTCTAAAATTCTTCACTTTCCCAAAATAAAAAGAAAAGTGAAAAGATGTGAGAAGAGAAACACCTTAGTAAAGATTATAAGGAAATGAAAAATTTTCATATTATTCAGTTGAAATATGAAATGAAAAACCTCTAATAATTAAATGGGGATGGATAATATATCCCTATTTTACGACTTTTAATTTAGCTGGGATTTTCACTATGGACTGTAAGGCTAGTGAGTGCTAAAAATAGTTAATACTATTTTGTATCTAATAACTAGCGCCGAATAGATTATTCGCCACTAAGAGAATATCACCTGAAATTTTTCCACAACTAGATTCATTAACAGACTGGGCCCTTAATGCTAAACGAAGCGGCAACAAAAAATCGGTGTATACACTAGAACTAAATTGAAAACTTTCAATAGCATCATAAATTATTTTAAATAATGGTTGCTTATTGGAATGGAAGTAGCCCCTATTACCATGTATTAATTTTATTCCTGAATAAGAAGTATTACAAATAGTCATATACATGCAGTGATCTGGGCGATAGTTGTATGCACATGGAATGATATGTAGTTTGTCGGGATGATAATAAAAAATTATATTTATAATATCTTGGTCACCCCAGGTTATGCGTAACTTATATTCTTTATAAATAGGAAATACATGTTGTTCCCAATTGAAGTTTCGCATGCGTGTGAGGTTCATCAGCATGACTCCAGAGTTTACTCCAAGTGGACCATAAAAAGGATGCCGTGCAAAACGGTTATACCATCCAACATTTCCATTTTCGTGCTCAGGAGCTAAGGCAGCGACTTGACTGTCATTAAATTTGTCAAAAAATTTCCAAATGTCCGTTATCGGTGATAAAAATAAAATATCTGTATCAACGTATAACAACGAGTCGACCTCCATCAATAGGGACTAGAAATAAATTAACATATAAAAATTGTCTTTTCTAAAAATAAATAAAATTTTAGAGCCTTAGTGCATACACTGAAAACATAACTTAAATTGCTTAAGCAAAACAGTATTTATCTTTGTGCAACAAGTTCTTACCGGCAAAAATAGGCGTTGTGCAGCACATGGCTTAAACAGGGTTTTCCACTCCATCTCACTTTGATTTGGAAATTTTAATGGCAACAGCTCAAATTCAAAGAGTTGGGGGAGTGTATCACGCCAGTCCGTCAGCTTCTCTCTTATTATTTCAGTTAATGGATCTTCCGTAAATATTAAGAACTTGAGGCATTCGTGATAATAATTAAAAAGGATTGCCGACTTTATCATAACTAAAGTCTCTTGGGCCCGCTGGCCACAGGCGACTGCAACAATATGATAGGTGGGACGCCTATGACGCCTATGAAATTGGTTAATAAATAAAAATATATTATTTTAAGAAAATTTTAAATAAGTTAATAGCAAAAACTTCTGTATGATCAAAGAATTTCTATTTTAAGATTCTTGGTCTAACAGAAAAGTTATCCAGCTGCTAAACAAAAATTAAATTAAATTAATTTTTTCATTACAGTATTACAAAAAAATAAGAGGCTCTAGTCGGGAGTTCCCGACTAGGGGATGCCCTGAACCCTCTTCTAACAACACCAAATGCAGCTCGCGCTATGAGCGCGTTTTTTTTTAACAGTATGAGAAGCAATCACACACCAAATTTTGATGAAACAACAATCTTACAACAAGAGCAACCCTACAACAAACAACACACATAAAAAAAAACTACACATAATTAACACACCCACCAAAAACCTACTAAACTACAAGACAGACACAGAAAATTGCGCTCACATGTACAAACATCTCTTAAACAGCCAAAAAGCCTCAGTTTCAATCTCTACGTCAAAAAGCGCAGACGTGTAAAATAATGTATGTAAAATGTTCAAATTATTGTTTTATATTAACGTAATCTAATTGTTAATTGATTTTTGTATCTTGCTGTTAGTGCCCTGAAGCCGTTTTGCCGATGTGCACCTGATATATATTGGAAGCAAAAATAAAATTGTTTCACTGTTGTTCTTAAATATGGAAAGGTCGCCAAAACCATAAATTATTACTAAAATAAAAAAAAACAAGAGGTTCTAGTCAGGATACACTATACCCTCTTATTCCAACACCAAATAAATTAATAAAAAAAAAGTTCCCTTGCCATAGCTCGAACTAGCGACAGACCGCACCACTTGCTATGCCTCTACTCAACAGCCACACCAACAATTAAGTACTTATGATAAAAAAAAGGAACTAAAATTACATTACAAAAAAAAAAGATGCAATTACCATGCTATTAGAATGCGAAGCAGACGGGCATGAATGTGTCTGTGTACATGCATACAGAAATTCTTAAAGCTGCTGCCCCATTCAATTGCGCAGTTGCATATAAATTTGGTTTTTCTTAACCGATCATTATGAAATTTTCTACAGTATATCTTATTGTATCATAGAATATTTGTGTATTCTAAAAAAATCAATTGCATTTAAATTGTGGTTTAAATTGGTCGGCAATAAAAGTTGGGGTATTAACTTGATTTATAGCTCTGGGGTGGTATCGGGGAGGTGGCGATAGGTATGAAATGAAAGATACTTGAAATATCTATAATATTCTAGAAGCAACATATCATGTTTGGTGGCTCTAGCACTTATTATTTACCCAATTTGCTAAAAAAAACAGGATGTCGATATCGATTTTTATCGATTGCTTAGAAACGGAGTAAGTTATCGATTATCGGAAATAAACTCGATCTGCACGGGAACTAGGAGCATCTACATCTAAAATTTCAAGTCTCTAGCTCTTATAGGTTCTGAGATCCTTGCGTTTATACACACGGACGGGCGGACAGGCCGACAGACGGGCATGGCTAGATCGACTCGGCTACTGATGCTGATCAAGAATATATATACTTTATGGGGTCGAAGACGCTTCCTTCTGCCTGTTACATACATTTAACTTTTGCCCAAATACAATATACCCATTTTCAATGGGTTCAGGGTATAAGAAACGTGTCCGTGCCATATTCTCTTACTTTGAACGGTATATAAACTTTCAGCAGCCTGCCGAAAAATCACGGTTCCTTAGGGCAATAGATTTTAAATTATTTAACATTTTTACCTAAAGACATTAACATAGTCATAAATAAAGAAATGCGTTTACCTTCTGTATCCATATTTTATATACATATGTATACAAAAGTACTTACATTTCGTTGTGTCCAGTGCCGGATTTGAAGGATCCTATATAGTCCCAATGTGGACGTTCACTTAATATGTAGAAAATCGTAGTGAGTGCCATAATAATAAGAAAAAACATTAGGAAATGGCGCTAAAAAAAGCTTTAGTTAAAAAAAGCTAGTTAAAATATCATACAAATCTCTTATACCATTTTGTTTTCTAAAAAGAAAATACATATGCACGTACATACATATGTATTTCTTTAGCAGTAATATATTTTGAAAATAAACTTCTTTTCACGGCTACACATCAGAATTAATAAACTAACATTATTTGAAAAAAAAAACACCAATCTCTACTCAGTCCTGGGAAAAGAATACTTCGATAATCACTTGTTATTGGTGGACGAAACATCGATGCATTGATGTTTTTAAATTTATGTGCGTCAGATTAGCGGCGGTGACTTACCGTCGAATATTGGTACTTGTTATCGGAAGAGTATCGGTCACTTTCAAATGCATCTATTTATGTTTTTAAGCACGAAACCAAATAAATTTAAACGCAGAATTGCAACAAATTAAATTATTTACTATCTACATTCATTTATTTTTGAATTTTAATTTATAATATGGGTTAACAAACAAATGCACGGTAGTTTAACATATAGTTCGCGAATAATCAATCATTTTGTTATTTACATCAAGAAAATCGTCCAGCCAGTTTTTGAGAAATTCGCATTTTACTATTTTTCTTATTATATCCCCTGTTATGAAAAAAAAAATTATCTGGCAACATTACATACTGAACATATTTATTCATCAAAATGGCGACGATATTTCAAGCTTTATTATTCTATTTCTCCGATAATGGCCCCAAATGCACGGTAGTTTAACATATAGATCGCGAATTATCAATCATTTTGCTTTTTACATCAAGAAAATAGTCCAACCAGTTTTTGAGAAATTCGCATTTTACTATTTTTCTTATTATACCCCCTGTTATGCAAAAAAAAACTATCTGGCAACTGTTGCGGGACGAATTAAGCTATCGATTGTTTAGTATTAAGTATATTCTGAAAGTATGTATTTTTGCCCTGTGAATGTACGGGCACATTGTATTTGGCTTGTTGCCGCCATCACTTAAATGTTAAGCTCAATATTGTCGTGAGTTAGAAGGCCGTAGGAGGGAAGACTGCGGTAAGATTCTGAGGGAATATATATTTAAGTTCTAACCTATCCGTTCAGAATAAAACACTTGCACTAGCACGTTTTGCATTACGCTGTCTCTATTAACATCGGAGTAACATGGCCAGTGGCCAGGCGTAAACCTTGCAGTGTTCACATTGCAACTCCACCTTCGTTTGGCACGCGACATGATCTTTTATTCGCAGCTCTTATTGTAAGAAACTGCAAGGGCGACTTGCACTGGAGACAAGACGTGGTGTAACTTTGGAGTTACAGTGCGTGTAGATAGACACAGCACAGGCAGGGCCTCCACCCCAGTTATAGAGTTACCATTGGTACGCAGCCAACGTAAAATATAGTATAAGTCATCTCCGAGCTGAACAGGATGACACAACGGTCACCCAGGAAAAGACCACGCCTGAATGATGGCCAGGAGATAGCTACCACGGCGAGTGAGGTGCAGCCGAAGCGGACAAGTAGAATGGTGAGCACTGTATCACAAATGCAAGTTCCCGCTGTGAGCGCGCCACAAAGCCCCAGCACCGAGGATGTGGGCACAAGGGTACAACCTGCCAGCACTGTGGCTGCAGGAGTGAGTGCACGAGCCAGCATATTGACAGGAGCGCCAAGCCCAAGCACGCAACTCTCAAGTGCTCAAGTCATGGATTTGATAAAGAGAGTCGCTGCGCTAGAGCACGAGTTGCAGAGGTTAAAAACTGGTCAAGCACATGTGAGTACAGTTACTGATCCCGTTAAATTGAGTGATGCTGGCGTAGGTCGTACAGCTAACCTGCCGCCATTTTTGAGTGGAGAGCCATCGTCGAGTGGAAGTTTGAGTGAAACTGCAATTATGAGTGGAGTCCCAAATTCAAGTGTTAGTTTGAGTGAAACTGCAATTTTGAGTGGAACTGCCATTTTGAGCAGATCGCCATCTTTGATTGCCTACTTCATTGAGTGGAAATTTGGGACCACAGTTGCAAACGGTAGAATGAGCTACAGTTATGGATAACTGTTCTACAACATCAAGCCGCTCGACGCCATATTGTTCTGCAGGCATTGCGCAGTCAACGCTCAGCCACACGCCGGCACAAGAGAATAAAGCTGTGATCATTTTGGAGCCAACGCAGGCAACTGGAAACTTCGCATGGGCGACACCCAGGAACGATGTATGCCTGCTACGCAAATTACCAGATCTACCTGAGTTTGGAGGCCAACCAGAGGATTGGCCTATATTCTTCTGCGCGTTTACGGAAACAACTTTGGCGTACATCTGTACGAATCTGGAGAATAACCAGCGATTGTTGAAGGCACTCAAAGGCGAACAACGTGATGGAACAATTACGTTTTAGATATGGCCGTCCAGAACAACCAATACGCAGCCAGCTAATTAGTATTCGAGAGGTGCAGCCAATTCAAGAGCACAGCATAGCGAAAATCGTGCCATTTGCTACACGAGTGAGTAACCTTGCCGCTTTTCTACAATCAGCTAACGGAGAACAGCACTTAGCGAATCCTACAATGATGGAGGATTTGGTCGCTAAGCTACCACCAAGCAAGAGGGTGGAGTGGGCCAGACATGCAGCTACGATTAGGCCTTTCCCGACTGTCGTACATTTTAGCGCGTGGTTAACGGACTACGCCAATTTGGTATGTACGATTGTGGACGTCGATGGTAAGGAGCAGAAGCGTAGAGTGCTGCATGCCAGCATTGACCAGAATAACGAAGGGCGACACCGAGGTCGTACCAAACAGTGTCCAATCTGTAATGGACAACACGCAGTCAGGGACTGCAACGAGTTTAACTTAGCCTCTCCGCTACAAAGGTGGACGTTTGTTAAAAGGCACCGGCTTTGTTTCTCGTGCCTACGAGATGGCCACATGGCAAGAGTCTGCAAAAGGGCAAACGAATTTCAAGTCAATGGATGCCGGAAGAGGCATCATCGCCTTTTACATGATCATGATGCTATGAGTCACAATGCACCGCAGCCAGCGGGTGATAGAGTGATGAATACTGGACGGATGCCGCAGCCAGCGGATCCGCACACAAGGGCACCGCAGCCAGTGGATGCTCAATTGACGCAACAAAGGAATTTAAGTTGTGTCGATTCGGATGGAGAACGCCTACTATTCCGCATATTGCCAGTGACATTGCACGGGGCCAATAAGCGGATCGATACGTATGCACTCCTCGACGAGGGCTCGTCCGTAACTATGATAGACGACGAGCTACTGCGCGACCTAGATGTCAAAGGGGAACGCAGGCAACTAAATATACAGTGGTTTGGTGGAAGAGCAACCAGAGAGCCGACCACAGTGGTAAGCATGGAAATTAGTGGAGCGGACAATCGCAAACGTTATGTGCTGCGAAATGTGTACGCCGTGTCCAACCTGAGCTTACCGATGCAAAGTCTGCATCGATGTGATATACAAATGTTGGACAACGGTGCACGACTTCCAATGAAACCGTATCGCGGGGCGGTACCAAAACTTCTGATTGGACTGGACCATGCGCATCTTGGACTGCCAATGCAAACAAGAAGGTTTGCACCACAGGGACCATATGCCGCAGCCACCGAACATGGATGGGTGGTTTTTGGGCCGTTAAGAGGTCAACCAACGGCAACGTCAACAAAGTCATGCCTCCTAGCAGTGTCGCAGGAGGATGCAATCCAAAAGATGGTAAACGACTATTTTGATATCGAGAACTTCGGTGTGAAGCTTACGTCACCAGTCGCAGCCAGCGACGATGCACGAGCACAGAAGATACTCGAAGACACCACGGTGAAAATAGGGGAACGTTACCAGACAGGTTTGTTATGGAACCGTGACAATGTTGAGTTGCCAAGAAGCTACGATATGGCATACAAAAGATTGGTCAACATTGAGAGAAAGATGAAGCGTAACGATCAGTTTAAACGAGCCTATATGAAAATTATGGACGATTATGTTTATAAAGGATATGCTTGACGCTTGAAGCATCATGAGATCGCTTTAGCCAACAGCGACAAACTTTGGTATCTGCCGCACTTTGGAGTTGAAAATCCAAATAAGCCCGGTAAGATAAGACTGGTGTTCGACGCGGCAGCAAAGGTCAGTGACATTTCATTGAATTCGGCATTATCCAAGGGGCCGCAGCACTACAAGTCGCTGCCGGCTGTTCTCTTCCATTTCCGGGAAGGTGCGGTTGGCGTTTGTGGAGACATCAGAGAGATGTTCCATCAAGTGTTGATTCGACCGCAGTATAGATGCGCCCAGCGATTCTTGTGGCGAAACGGCGATGACCGCCGGGAGCCTGATGTTTATGAGATGAGGGTAATGACATTTGGAGCAACATGCTCGCCAAGCACCGCGCACTATGTGAAGACCTTGAATGCCCTGCAGTATCAGGATTCAGACCCTCGCGCGGTTAAAGCTATTCGTGAATGTCATTATGTGGACGACTATGTGGATAGTTTTGATAGTAAAGGCGACGCCATCGCCATATCAACAAGAATATGAGAAATACATGCCAATGCTGGATTTGAATTGTGCCAGTTTACTTCCAGTTCGCCAACCGTAGCTGACGCCCTGGGCCAACATGGGGCTGCTAGGAGCATTGGATGGGGCGAATGCAGTAGAAAAGATTCTGGGCATGTGTTGGCAGCCAGCCACGGACGATTTCAAATTCAACATGAGGTACCACAAAGTACCCCGATGTGTGCTAAATTTGGAGCGAGTACCTACGAAGAGGGAATTCTTGAGCTTGATAATGTCAACATTTGATCCTTTGGTATTTCTTAGCTGTCTCATGATAACTGGAATGTTACTAATGCGTGATATTTGGCGACAAAATGTGCAATGGGATGAACCCTTAGCAGATGAGATCGCCCGCGCCTTTAGTAAATGGCTTCAGGATATGAACAACGTGGAAGGATTTCGGAGCTCGCTACGTTACTTTGGCCCAATACATGTGCGGGCAATACAGCTGCATGTTTTTGTCGATGCTAGCCAGTCAGCATTCGCAGCTATAGCTTACTTGAGATTCGCCTACAACAACAACGACGTGCGAGCATGCTTTTTATGTGCCAAGACGAAGTGCGCCCTGATGAAAACGATGTCAATTCCACGACTGGAATCGCAAGCAGCCGTGTTAAGAAC